CCATTGCTGACATTGTAGCTGCTAATTTCTGACCCCATTCTTCAAAAATCTCCTGGAGCATTTCAATTGTCATAACATTTTGTGTCATTTTGTAAATCCCAAAACAAAATGCAAAGTTTCACTTTTTTTTTTCTTTTTCCTTTTCTGCCTGGAATCTTTAGTCCCCCGTAGTGTCCAACTTCTGAAACCATAGAGTCAGATCTCTGTTATGACTTGACTTAATTTATAACTTTCTTGGGTCAAAGTCTTATTTGGCTTTTTGCTGTTTATTTCCAATATTTTAAATCCTTAAGTTTATAGTTAATTTTTTTGTTCAGGAATGAAGGTAAACTCACCAGGGGCTTTTCAAACTTGTCATTCCAAAGATTTCTAATAACTTTAAGGTAGTTAAATAGGTAATTTCTGAAAATGATTAGAAAATGAGGTTAGTGAACCTAGTATCCTTTAAAAAGCTACACCACGGTTGCGAGCATGATGGCTGTTCCCTTTGTATCACAGTGCTCAAACCCACGGGAGACTGCTGTCTTGCAGTCTCCTTGTGAGAAGCAGCCGTCTGGAGCACATGTGGGTAATCTACCATCCTCTCCTTATCTGGAGAGGTTTCATAGAACTGGTCTACTCGTTGGTTCTTCAGTCTTTGCTGCAGACATCGTCTCCGCTTGCTTGGAGACGTGCTAGTTTGCCATGCCTCAAAAATGTCTGTCTTATTTCAGATTCTCCTCACCTGCCTCTTCCTCTTCCTCCTCCTCTTTAGATTTGTGCCCTACCTTTTCTCCAAAAGCTCAAGAGACTTACATGGGGATCCCCATTAATTTTATCCTCACAACACAGCCCTGTGAGGAGGATTGCACTGAGAGCAATGAGTTTAATGAGTTTCCATGGCTGAGGTGGACTTGAACTAGAATCCAACACATTAATCATCACACCGTCTCACATGTCTGTCTGGTTTACATATAGAACTTTAAATAGAATACTGAGTTTCAAAAATATTGTCAGATAAAACTTCAAGGGACTTCCTATCGATACAAAGAAATCCTGAGCTTTGAAGAAACCTGTGTATCTGGAACTGAAGTGTCCAGGTACATGGTATGTGCCAGTAGCCATAGTCTAAAATATTTTTCATGTATTTTTTCAGTTCAGGATCTGTTGGTTTACACATATGATGAGAACAGCTTTTTCCAAAATGTCTATCCTTTCTGTAACTCTTAGTATTGGTTACAATACTCCAGTACACACAGCAACTGCCCAAAACTAGCAAATGATATGGCTGCTTTAATTATATGAAAAGAGGTGTTTTTTATGTACTCCTGTACATTGAAAATAATCTCTTTCAAGGCTTTGCACAACTCTTGTTCTTACAATGGAGTCTTGTGTAATTACTAAATTGTTGTAACTTTTGACATGTTTATCTGTTAAGAAAAAATCTCACACTTTGCATCTCTTGTTTATGTGGGGTTTTTTAGTCTTTTTCCTCATTTCTATATTCCTTTCATTTTGAGCTCCCTTGTTTTTTCTTTTTCTCTTGTTTTTTTTCCCTTTTTTCTTTCTCCTGTTTCTTTCTTTTCTCTAGTTACATCTTTGCATCCTTGTTAACACTTGTTTGTCCATCCTTCTCTTTCCATACACACAGATACTGGGAAGTACTTCATTAGTAATATGATGAAACATTAGAACTAGTAATATAAGTACTAGCTGCTGGATAAACACTTTAGCTTTTTGTTATCAATGTGAAAGAATTCATCATAATATAATACATGATAGTATGACATTAAGGCTATGTGAACCATAGTTTTTATATTAATTGTAATGTACTGTTTTATATTTTGTATCTGCAGTGTGTTAATTTTGTCTTAATTGCTTTGAGTGCTTACACTGACAGAAACCAAATAAATAAATACAATTTCTAAATTTTTATATGAGCATGAAAATGTTGCATTATAAGTTACTGATTTTTGCCATAGATTACAGTGCTTTGGTAGATAATCTATGTGCTAATTCTGAGCAGTAGTTAGCTTAAAAGCATGTATTTAATAGGACAGTGATTCATGAACTAACATCAGTGGATGGCAGCTTATTTTTGCACCTAAGTAGCAACATTAACTCAAAAGCCTATCCCTTAACAGTACTACTCAATTGTGATATTTTATATTCTGAACCAAGTTATTTTTAGAGTCAGGCATATCCACAGGGCATGATTAAAAAAAACCTCAATATGGCAGCCATAGCAGGGCACTTGAAGCTCCACCCATTTTTAACATGCAACATGAAACTTTGATCACACCCTTGTGGCTGTCATCTTGACATTTTGTACCATACCCTGTGGGTACTCCTTTCTAAAGTAATGTTGGGTTTAGATATGAGAGTTATTCACTACCCATACTAAAAATGTACTTCAGTGAGACATTAACAAAAGGGATGAAAAATATTCCAAAAAAGTAAAATATTTAGGTAACGCAAAGAATTACAATAAGATAATACATACCAATCCATAAATCCTAAATCTTTAAGTTTAAATCTAATCCCACACCGATATGTATTTAAGTCTTACTCAGATGAGCACAGTGAAGGAGTTTTAAGAGAAGCAACTGTTTCATTTCTGTACATTCTTTTCTCTCTTTCTGTGACCAGCCTAGAGTGTGTACTCAGGCCTGCGCAGGAATTTTTTATGTCTTTTTCTGAGTTTGATTGATTTGTGTCATTAGGAAGATCTGTGTGCAGAGAGAGCGAGGGTAGTAAGCCTTGTGACAGGGTCTTCAGCCCAACAGCTTTGAAGGCATGTTTCCCTCCTAATGAATTTTATTTTATGAGGCATGTAGGAGCGATAGGTTGTAAACAGGCATGCTCAGAGATATTTCAGTTCTGGCAAATGCAACCAAGATGACTTAGGAGTGGTTCTTTTCATATGCCCCATGTCTGACACAAGTAGAAAGGCCTGATGAATTGTCTTTTCCTAACATGTGTCTTGACAGTGTCAGAAAGTTTCCTGTTGCTTTTGTGGGGTCATGTCAGGAGCTATGATAAATTCCCCATTTTTGATATTTTGGGAGTAAATATGAAATCAAATTCAATGGCACCAAGTAAAACTGGTTATAGAAAAAAGGTGCAGAACATCACTATGCAAAGATTAGCAGAGAAATAGCTGAGAAAACAGTTACTTTCCCCCCCTAAATGCATTAGATGTCCCTTCTTATAACCTAGCCCCCCCCATCCTAAAATATTTCTCAAGTTAAAGTTCTAGGTATGGACATACCACAACATCTGAATACCTTTTCCAGCACCTTTGTTGCTCCCCTAACAAGTGCTACTCCACAGAGTATTTGACTGCTGTTTCCTCTATTGTTAATAGTTGATCCAAAAAGGCAGAAGCTATTCAGCACTTCACATTATAAATACATATGCGCATATGGACATGTATATATAGGACCATCTATCTCTGGTTAAATTGGCCCATCCCACATGCTGTTCCAGGCTTGGCATTCTCCAGGTCCCTTCCTTGTTTCTATGTCATATGGTGAGATCTAGGAAGCATGCCTTTTCTATGGCAGTACCTCCTCCTTGGGATGATCTCTGTCCTCAAATTTGATTGGTCCCAATCCTGTTAGCCTTTTGGAAGGCATTAAAAACTTGTTTTTCCCCTTGGGAAACTGAACCTGGTAGTTATATGTTCCTGTCTTCAGTGGTGCTTATTGGATTTGATGAACATGTGTTTTGTCTTATCTCCATTATTATTGATTATATTATTTTAATGTAATGATAGCCACCCAGAATCACTGGTGAGTTATATGGGCAATCATATAACTTAAGTCTCATCAATTGCAATATAAGCTTGGTTCTAGTTCTGTTTATTTTAATTTCTTTGCTCTGTACTTTCACAACATAAAAATTGATTTTACATGTCAAGTAGACATACTGGAATCATTTTATAATGAAACTGAATCTAATATTGTTTATGTTTCTAAAATATATGTTTAATTAACAAGTTTCCATTGAAAATGACATGCAAAAGAAATAAAGTATTGATGTGACTTTGAATGTATTAGTGAAGAAAATGTGTGAAATTTATATATCATATACTCAGGGATAATATTCAGCACTGCATTTAGTTGTTTTCAGTTCATAGTTTGTGTTTTAAGGATAATGTAGAATTTTTCTGGGTATTACAGATTGAAAAGATGCAGTACAGTTGTGTGGAATAACTTTCTATAGTATACAATTATTTATTTGCATTATAATAGCTAAATTATGGATCTTACTTCTGCAGTACAGGTAGTCCACAAATTACAACAGTAACTGGAACTGGAATTTCTGTCTCTAAATTATGTGGTCATAAAGCATGATGTTATATGACTGCGTCACTTAGCAACAGCAATCCTGGCAGTCCCCACTGCTGTTGTTAACCAAATCCTGCCAATCCTTAGGCGAGGACCCATCCCGATCCAAACCATTCCAGCTTGTTCCCTTTCAGCCTGAGCTTTGATAAAGTAAGGGACTGCCTCCTCTTCAACTCCCCCCACCTGCCTATCCACCCCTTCATCTCTGCCCTTTTGGCAGCCTTGCACTCTGCTGCATCTGCTGGCCTTACCGCAACGCACTCGCTTTGCCACCCTGCCCTGCCCAGCCTCAGAAGCCTTCTGAAGCATCGCAAGAATGGCACATGCTATTTGGAGAATGGCACATGCTATTTTGAGAACAGCGCAAGTGGCCTTGGGAAGAAGGCCTGGCAGAGCCAGAAGCTGCCTTGCATAGGGCCAGTCTGGTGTGCCTCGTCAGCAGTGGGAGGAAGATGGTGACAGTCAGCTGGGTGCAGCAGGGCTTGCAGAGTGCTGGGCAACAGGGTGGCTGGACTTTGCACTGTGGTGGTGGGATGGCTGGCTGTGGTATGGAGGTTGAGGCAGCACTCCTCAGCGGCAGTGGCGCTGGGGCTGGAGTAGAGGCCAGGGGGCATTGGCAGTTGGCTGAGACTGTTGAAGACCCTGGACCTCTACTTCAGCCCCAGCACCTCTACCACCACCAAGGAGTGTGGTTGTGCAGGGTGGCCAAAAGGCAGAGATGGAGGGAGATAGGCGGGTGGGGGGAATTGAAGCATCCCTGTGGTTGTAAGTGCGGGCGAGCTGCCAAGTGCCCAAATTTTGATCCTATGACTGCAGGGGCACTGCAATGGCCATAACTTTGGGGACTGGGCATAAGTACCATTTGTTCAGCACCACCGTAACTTCAAACGGTTGCTGAACAACTAGTTGTAACTCGAGGACTACCTGTACTTGTCTGAATAGCCCAACTCTCACTCTTCATATTATTTCATATAAAATGCCTATAATAAATGTTGACTTAGTGTGCATATGTACAGTATTAAGATACAAGACAGTGAAATGTTCAGTACCAGATACCTATATATTTATTTTGTCATTCTTTCATTCTGCAATAGGTACGGAATGATCTAACTGGAGTTCTGTATGGTGAAGATATTGAAATATCAGATACAGAGAGTTTTTCTAATGATCCCTGTACAAGTGTCAAAAAGCTTAAGGTAGGTGTAACTATTTTGCTAGGTTAAAAAACTAACTGGCAGGAAAAAAACCATCAGTGGCTTAAAATAAACAATTTTAATAGATTTCAGTTTGAAGACTTCCTTTTAGATTTTGGTATTTAGGGTAGTTGTTATTATAGTCATGATATAAAAATTATTATATATGATATTAAAGTCTGTAATGACATAGGAATGATGTGATTAATATAGTTATAACTAGATTGTCAACAGAATTATATGAATGAGAGCAAGAATGCTTTGTGTGTGCTACAAATTGTACAAGTTCAATTTCTTTTTCTTTCTAAGAATGCAAATTAATATCAAGGGCCCAATTTTGTTGAAGTATAAGGACAGTCATATTAATAATAACAACAATAATAACAGCAACATCCTGCAATGATACCTTTAATACCATCAAAAAACAGCATCTGCCTATCCCAGGTCTTTGGGAAGGACTTGATAGGTGGATAAAAATGCCAAATCCAGTCTAAATATCTGTCTGATTGTGCAACCAACAGTAATAATTTACGAGTGGCTCTGGGCAGTTTACAAATTGTTAAAAACATTTAAAAACAAGGAACATTTAGAAGATTTAAAAAACATTTAAAAACAATACAAAAACAATACAAAAATAAAGGAACAGAGATGGCAGAGAAAACAACCTGGATGGGAACAAGGAAAAGGAAGAAAAGGGGCGTCAGTCATCCTCACCAAAGCCTGGGTGAAGAGCCATGTCTTAAGGGCCCTTTGAAATACCAGTAGGGTAGGGGCCATTCAGATCTTGGGGGCAACTTCATTCCAGAGCCCAGGTACTACTGCAGAGAACGTCCACTTCCAGGGTCCTGAAAGTTGCATTGCTTAATTCATGGAAACTGCAGTGTGCCAACTTTGCCAGATTGAACTGACCAGGCAGATACTATGGGAGACAGGAGGTCCCTCAAGTAACCAGGCCCTAAGCCATGTAGGGCTTTATAGATAGTGACCAGCACCTTGAATTGCACCCAGAAGCAAACTGGCAACCAGTGTAGCTTGTGAAGCTGTAGTCAAGTCATGGAGTGACCAGAGTATGAGTTACTCTCTGAAGGTCCCCCCAATCTATAAAAAAGTGCAACTGGTACACCAGATGAAGCTGGACAAACACTTCCTAGCCACTGTTGCCACCTTCTGATCGAGCAGGAGCTGTGAGTTCAGGAAGACCCCCAAATTATGCACCACCCTTGAATGGGGAAGTGCCGCTCCATCCAAAGTCAAAGTTGGAATATCTCCAGATCTGGGCAGTCCAAACATCCATAGCTACCTGGTCTTGGTAGGATTGAGTTGGAGATGGTTCCTCCTGATCTAAACCTGCACAGCCTCCAGGCACTGGGGCAGAACCTCAACAGCCTCACTTGACCAGCCCAGAGTTGAAAGATATAGTTGGGTATCATCAATGTAACCCCAAACTGGCAGATGACTGCACCCAGTGGTTCCATGTAGATGTTGAAAAGGAGAAGCGAGAGAACAGAACCCTGCAGCACCACACAAAGAAGGAGCCTAGATCTGTCCCTGCAACCCAACACCAACTGGAACTGGCTCCAGAGAAAGGAAGAGAACCACCATAAAATGATGACCCCAATCCCCAACCCATGGAGCTGGCCCAGAAGGATACCATGTTCAACAGTATTGAAAGCTGCTGAGAAATCAAGTAGCCCACGGATGGATGCACCACCACCATCCAACTCGCCATAGGTATCAACAAGAATAGAACTTTTGAAAATCAGTGGGAGTGAAATTAATCATGACTGCCTGTTATTTGTGTGTGTGTGTGTGTGTGTGTGTGTGTATTCAGTTGTATTCATTTTATATATATATAAAATGAATACAACTGAATCCATCCCATAATCAGAGTATTATATAGGCACAGAGTACTTGTGATTTGTTATAGAAAGGGAAATGTCTACTTTAAACAACATAGGTAAATCAATATACAGCAGCAATGGATCACGTGTTAATCCTCAGACATTGGTTCTCATTCCACGCTGACATAATTTATCTACAGTAGAGTTGGGCAGTGTTTCATCAGCTGTGAACTCTAAAAACACCCAGTCTCATTCAGTTAACTTTGGAGGCAGTCTAGTCTCAAACTCAAGCCAGAATCTGGAATAGCATAGGAGAAACAAAAACAGGAGAACATCTGCGTTTTTCAAGAGAATGGGATTAATTATTTTTTATGAATGATAGGCATTCATCAGGTGATGAAGAGTGCCAGTTTTATAGGAATCCATGCAGAACTTCTTGAGATATTCTTTGTGAAAAATCTTTGTTTTTTAAAAAATGCCTATTATGTTGTTTTTGGGGATAAACAATAATTTCATGCCAAGTTTCTGACAAATAAATTGACAAAATTTTGGGCAGATGAAAGGATGCTTATAAGGAATGATGATGTCCCTTTATGAATGTAGTAGAGCCAATTGTTGTAGGTTAAGATAAATATTTAAACTCATTAATGTTTTTTATAAAATAAATCAGTTACTGTGCAAGTAAAATAGTTAACATGGTTCACAAAACTCTGTCATATAATTGATCAGGAATTAAGACAAGGCTGCCTAATGTAAATAGAGAAATGGTGAAGGATTTTAGGATCTTTCTTAAACTCTTACATTGTTTTTCCCTGCAAGATGTGATTTGGCGAGCCAATCTGATATGAAGGCAAGCCTTGCTTTCTGAATCCAGAATTCTCCCTTCTGTCCACAATAAGAAATTTCCCCCCTTTTTGTCATGGCTTTCATTGCTCTATCTTTTGTAGTACATTAAAGTTTTATAGCATACTAGAGCATTGTGGAAGTCCAGAAATGGAGTGAATTAAGACCCATCTGTTCCACCCACAGTTAATGAAAATCTGTTCAGAATTACTTTGGGATTCAGGCTTTTGCTGAATCCATTGTACATCATTAGTCCAAAATAAACATAGACCTCAATATGTGCCAGAAATGAGAAACTATCGTAAAATCAGTGTTCTGTGTGGGGGTATGTGTTTGTGTATACAATGTGATATTTGGTATGTAAATGCTGGAATGTGAAGTCATAATGAGCTTAGAGATGAGTAGAATATTGCCACCACATTATACATACAGATAAACAAGTAACATAACTGAAAGTGTGAGGTCATTTGCATTTTCTATACTGAGCAATAATAACATCCCTCTTTTCAAAAGAAATCTACTAGTGTGATTACACCTATATACACCTACTAGTGTTATTACACCTATCTCCCCCTGATATAGGGGTTTGTCTACCTTCCCTACCAATGAGAGCCGGGGGAGGGGGTTGAATCACACTCAGGATTGTTTGGTTGCTGGATGTGTGGGCACCCTGCCAGTCTAGTGAGAGGGGATTGATGGAGGGTATTAAGAGTGTAGGGTTGGGAGGGGCTGCTTATCTAGAGGTGCTGAGTCTTTGCAGAAGCACCTCTGCGTTTAGTGGACTCTGGAGGAGGTTGTGGATGGATATGTATGGGGGGTGGCTATGGGCTCGGGCATGGACCATTATGGGCAGGGGACAGAGGAAGTCTCTGGAGGATTGGGGGCAGCTCAAAACATCTCGGTAGTGACAGGTATGGGGACATATGTTCCTGTGGCACGTTCCAGCCCCTCAATCTCACTCCCAGGCCCTGGTGGGCTAACCTTCAAGGCCCTATGCTGTTGGCTGCTGCTGTTGAACGCCATAGCCGTCTGTAATAAGGCCACCCTCATCCATGATTTGATTGTGGCTGACCTGATATGTATTACTGAAACCTGGCTGGGGCTGGAGGGGGGAGGTGTCCCCTTTCTGATATGTGCCCAGCTGGGTTTCGGGTGTGGCATCAGCCAAGACCCCAGGGGTAGGGGTGGCGGTGGTAATCCAAGATACTTGGGAGGGACCCAGGGGTGCTGCCCCACAAATTGAGGGCTGCAAGACCCTATTTATTAAGTTGGGCTGCAGGGATCAGTTGGGACTGTTGTTATTGTACCTGCCTCGAGTTGGCAATGGAGTTCCCCAGCCTTATAGTCTTGGAGGACATCAACTTACCTTCTCTGGGGGGCATGGTCTGAGGTAGCTTGGGAGTTCATGGCCACCATGACAGGGTGGCCTATCCTAGGTCATCCAGGGCCTGATGCATAATAGTGGTCATACGCCTGACCTGGATTTTCTGTTGGAGCAGTGGCAAGGTGTTCTGGATTTGGGGGAGATATTGGTTTCTCTCCTGTCATGCTCAGATCACTCCCTGGTGAGCCTCTGGTTCTCTGGCATTATCCCCCAGCACAGGAGGCTGGGCCTATTAGATTGGTCCATCCCAGGTGACTGATGGACCCAGCTGGGTTCTAGAGGGAGCTTGGGGGTTTTCCAGAAGTTCTACTGCACAGTCCAACCAAAGCCCTGGTGGCCGCCTGGAATGGAAAGGCAGCTGAGGCTTTGGATCAGATCGCGCCTGAGTGGCCTCTGCACCCATGGTTCCTGGGACTCTCTGTGGTTTATGGAAGAGCTGAGCAAGATGAAGCAGGTGAAGAGGCACCTAGAGCGCTGCTGGCAAATGACAAAGACTGAACCTGACCAAAAACAGGCTAGAGCTGCTGTTCGAGTCTACCTCATGGCAGTAAGGGCAGCAAAATGTAATTATTTTTCTGGTCTTATTGGATCCACAGATAGCCATCCAGCAGCCCTGTTTTGGGTGACCTGGACCCTCTTGGAGGGAATAATTCTGGGGTTCATCTACAGGGTCACTGTGAGGAATATGCTGAGCATTGGCATTTGTTCTGCGGTGGACTCTGGCCTTGGTGCAGGGCCATGAAGGCTACAGGGACTGTCTGGTATGGGAGGAGTTCGATCCTGTTGAGCCTGAGGAAGTGGACAGGGTTCTTGCAGCTGTTAGTTCAGCCAGCTTTGTGCTAGATCCATGCCCCTCCTGGCTGGTCAAGGTTGCCTGGGAGGGGACTTGTGATTGGGTCTGGGTTGTGGTTAATTCTTCCATGAGGGAGGAGGTG